AAAGAACCTCTGTCTTGGAGAAGTCAATGTAATGTGAGCCTACTGAATTATAACAGTGATCTGCCACGGCCGAGGTGTTGGTCCTACCGTGTTTCAGGTCTGCTTTGTGTTCACAAATGCGGTCCGAGACATGTCGTTTGGTTTCTCCAATGTAACTACTACCACAGAGGCAACTTAGTTTGTAGACGCCAGGGTATTGTATGTCCGGAATCACATCTTTTACAGACGGAACCAGCTGCCACACGTGGTTGGAGTTAAGAAGGACCCTCTTGAGGAGCCTTTCAAAACCATCCCACCACCATCCATCCCAGAAGAATTCCCTCATCAAGACTCTGCACCATAGAGCCTAATGCATATCCGACCAGGAACACATAGCCAGTGAACTCAAGTACGTACACCAAGCTCTTAAGGCTAATGGTTACTCCGACTACACAATCCGCAAAGCTATCACTCCAACCATGAAGGACCCTCTTGAGGAGCCATTCAAAACCATCACTTTACCCTACATTGCGGGGATCACAAAAAATATCTCCAAAATCTTGAATAAACACAAGATCCAGGTCCGATTCAACACATTACATAAGATCCGTGATCTGGTTCCGTCTGTAAAAGATGTGATTCCGGACATACAGTACCCTGGCATCTACAAACTAAGTTGCCTCTGTGGTAGTAGTTACATTGAAGAAACCAAACGACATGTCTCGGACCGCATTCGTGAAAACAAAGCAGACCTAAAACACGGTAGGACCAACACCTCGGCCGTGGCAGATCACTGTTATAATTCAGTAGGCTCACATAACATTGACTTCTCCAATACAGAGGTTCTTTGAAAGCCATCTGGCTACCATGAGAGATTCGTTCATGAGGCTATCCACATATACAAACACAGACAATTTCAACCGAGAAGATAGATTCTGGCTTAGCAATCACTGGACGGATTTGATAAACCATTTCGGGTCTTAATTGATTGTTCACGCTTAAGGTGGCTTTCAGACCGCAGCCATTATTTTTCGTCTCCCCCCTCCTCTTTTCCGAACATAGATGGACTCGTCCATTTGAACAAACTGTCAAATCGTTCTCCGTGGTGCTAACGTTAAAAAAACCACAACAATATTTTTTTTTCAAATTTTATTGTTGTGGTTTTCACACCTGATGATGATTGCTTGTGTTGCAGTCGAAACGTCGTGAGAATTTTATTGTTTTATATTTTTATTATTTTATTGTTTCCCTTCTACGTGACTTTACCGAAAGAACCAAGAATAAGAGCTATATAGCTCAGTGGACCTTACCTGGTACATCAAACAACAATTTAGATTAGTTTACTGAGAGTGGAAAGACTGGCTGCCTTCCCAGGCCCAACCACGGGAGCTGACGATCAGCCATGGGGACATCGGCCTTCTCCTCGGCCTCCTCCTCCTCAACACCCTCTTCGGCCTTGTCCTCATCGGCCTTCTCCTCTTCAGCCTCCTCGGCCTCGTTCTTGGCCTTCTCCTTGGCCACCTCCTCCTCCAGCCAGGCAGGGACTATGAGTCAGAGCTCCCGCTGGCTCGGCCTCTGGGAAGCGAGACAAAACATATTTTTTTAAACAAGAGCCCGTTGCAGAGAAACGAGCGACCGGGGAGAGAGGGGCTACAGATGTCCGAGCCAAATTATTTAATTGGGTAAAAATCACACGACAACATCGTCCACCCCCCCCCTCCCCACTTTGAAAGCTGCGCAAGCTTTGTCGGTCAAACAACGGTGCCCTTCCCGGTAGCCTTGCACCCCCCCCCTATAAGAACTGCGCGAATACCAAACGGTTGTTTGATTCCATAATGAATCACGTGGACTGGCACCTCTCTCGGAAAGTATAGAGGGGGTCAAGGCGCAGCCCTGCAAATTGCTCGCTCACGCCGCTGCTGGCGGAAGGGCCTCCACTCGAGAGAGCTGTAGAGAGGCGCTCTAAAGCAGCGATTTTGTTTTACTGCAGAATTGCGCACCCTGTTGGTTCTCAATCGTAAAATATATAGGATGTTAATAAACACAGAGTTTGATGAAACAAAGTAGTTGTATCTTCTTTGGTTTTTCGGTAAAGTCACGTAGAATGAGAATAAAATAACATAAAATTCTCACGACGTTTTGGCCACGACACAAGCGGCCGTCTTCAGGTGAAAGGCGTTATTTTATTATTTTATTCTCATTCTAAGTGACTTTACCGAAAGAACCAAAGAAGATTAATCCTTGCAGTCACGAAAGCTTTAAATCGAAAAGTAGTTGTACTAATGTGCCCGTGCTTAATTTGTTTTTTGATGATTTACCGTCTAAAAAAAATCTGCCCATGTCTCGCACACCCAGAGAGGGGTGGGGGGAGGGGCATCACGCAACCCCCAGGGGATGCGAGTTAAGAAGAACCACTGTTCGAGAGGTCGTTTTTGTCCGAATCATCTTGCCTGGCCCACACCTTTTTTTTCTTCTCACGATTGCTGAGCACTAGGCCCAAAAATTCACCAAATGCCAAGGGCCACCAACAAAAAAACAACACGGTTAGAGAGTTGCGATGCTGTCGGTGACAGTTGTAAGACGTTGGCAAAAGAGAGAGAGACGACGGGAGGGAATTAAGAGAGTCGAGCAGGGCCGGAAAATAAGCATGAAGAAAGGCGTTGTGTGGTGAGTGAGTGAGCGAGTGAGCGGATGAGTGCGTTGGTTTTGACCTGATTGTGTGGTAGTTGAACACAGTGTGCAGGATGAGATGGAGCAGTCAGTGTCTGGTAGACCGAGTCCCCAACGTGGGAGAAAGAATGAAGGAGCGAAATTGGTGTGAACGGTACTTTGTGTTTTTATTATTATTACTATGCTTGTTTACCTAGGAAAGCTCACGAAGTCTCTTGACACTATTTCAGGGAGGTCCTGCCAAGCTTTTTGCAGTGGGGGGGTTGGAGGGTGCGGGCATTGATCGCTGTGCATATCCCAGTTGAGTAAATTTTGGGTAGATTTTCAAATTTCGCAAATGTGGAACCGTGACACCAGCAAGTGACGTCGCGGGTTCTTTAACGTCCACTGTGAAGCCAGACTGCGTTGAATCTACAATCTATGCGGTGTCGTCAGCTAGTTTGGGGAGGGAGTGTCGTATGGGGGGGGAGTGTCGTATGGGGGGGGGGTTAGTGGTGGAGGGGGAGCTTGGGGGGAGGATTTCAGCTCTTCACTGCCCCCCCCCCCCAATGCTTTGTATCTGTACCACGCCCGGTTCGCAGGGGGAAAAAATGTTTGGTGCTGGTCCCACAAGCATGATCAGATGATGATGGGAGATGACGATGGGAGATGATGATGATGGTGATGAATTGCCACCCACAATCTGCTACTCGAGCTGCAGCCCCTGGCTGGGAGTAATTCTGCACACCCCCGTCATTAGGTCGAGCCCGGCTCTGCGAATCGTCGCCGCCCACCCGCCCAGAATGACTGGCGGTGACCTCATTGTTGCTGACCCCGGCAGATCGCTGGGCAATTGAGAAAGATAACAACAACAGCAAGAGCAAGCAGACGGCTAAATTGCTTTACACAGGGTGGAGGCGGGAGGGGGGGGGAGACGTGGGGGGCGCTGAACACAGTGGCAACGTAATGGCCACTCGTAACTTTTGCTTGACTCTGGTCGAGTGAGCTCTCTGTTTTGGAATGTTGAGTCTTTCTTTCCAGCCGGCGTCTGTGAGTCGACGGCGTAGTGGGTGGAAAGCCGAGGCTTGTGTTGCCAAGCGGCTTCGAGTGACTTGTGAGCGTGCGTGAGCGTTGCTGTGAGCGGTGGCACCAGCGGTTAGCGCGCTGCCCCTGCAAACCCAGCCACCTGAGTTCGATTCCCGCTCGCGACTAATAACAGCGGCGAACGTTTGAACCGATTCTGGCCCTCTCCAGGTCGACTCGGCCTCAAATGAGAACCTGCTGAGGTGGGTAAACATCGCCATTTAGGGCGACAAAGGCGGCCGGGCGTGGTGCTAGCCACCTATCCCCCTCGTGTACCGTTCTGGGTTTAATAGATGCTCGCTAACAGCACTTGCCTCAACACAATGTAGGCTAAATGGTGAATATTCATCTCTGTTGTGTCGTCATCATCATACTGCTGATTTATTGAGGCCCTTATGGTCAGAACGGTCCGGAGTTTGCTTGATATTATTAATGCCTAGAGCTGAGCTACCCAATATATTGCTCAGCTTGATCACTCGACCCATCGGGGAAAATAGTCGGAAAAGGAGTCGCTCCTGTTCCTACGTGTCGCTCTTGACGGGAAGCGATGGGTGGAGCTTGCTGATGTCATTCGCATCACCAGCCGCATCACGCTGGGCGTGGCTTGTAGGGGGTTTCCCGCCTTCGAGAGGCTGAATGTCAGGGGAAGTTTAAAAGTTTATTTTGTTGATCCAAGTGAGCACTCGAGAGAGCACGCCGGCAGGATGAGACTCGGCGTTACAATTGTTTCGGAAGAGAAACAATTGTAACGCGCGAGGATTCGAACTTCAGAGAACGATGGGGGAGGCAGAAGGTGGAGGGAGGGTAGCAGAGATAGGGAGGGTTCACGGGGCAGCTGGCACAGTTAAAGGAAGATGGGGCTCATGTAGTCAACCGCACAGGAGCAGTGGATTGCAATGCTTGGTCGATTCGTCGGCCTCGCCCACGATCTCACCAATGACCTCGTCGTCCAGGAGCCGGGTGGCGATTCACTCCGGGCCCGCTCCGGCCTGGCCGCCCGCGACCAGGCTTGACGCCACCCCGGAAATGTTGAGAATCTTACGGAAATAAACAGCGCCTCCTTATTTGTCCTGTTACTTAAATTCTCCACAACGACGCTCATGAAAGTTATGTATTGCAGTGTGGCCAACAGAGTGGCTTTACATTATTTACATTCCCTACATGCTGGGCATCTGTGAAAAAGAGCTTCATAGCTCATCGGATTCCTTCAGTCTAAATAAAGATTCTGATTTTGTACGATTCCAATAACGCCGCTGGTGACGATTCCTCCTCCTCCGTTGTCTCTGCAGACAACCTGCTGGTGGTCACCGTCGCCACCAATCGGACGGATGGATTCGAGCGCTTCATGCGGACGGCAAAATACTTCAACTACTCCGTGCAGGTGAGGGGGAGAGCGCGCGGGTGAGTTCACCTCAAGTTCTCGTCGCTGGGTGAACATTTAGTGAACGAGTTGTGGGGGATAGTTTCGTTCCAACAATTGGTGCCGCTGCTTTTGACGATATATGCCGAAGGGGTTGGTGCCGACTTCTCGGGGCAGGCTTGTGTTCCGTCGAAGGGAGGGCCAATCTTCGGGAGAAGCTTCGAAGTCGTCGTCGTTTCCAAACAAAACCGACGAAAGGAACCTTGGGCCCAAAATTGTTGATGGTGAAAATGATCTCGGCTCGGGCGCAACTGCCAAAGTGCTATCTCGAAAAAAAGAAAGGTTACAATAGGCGGAAAGTTGCAAGCAACGTGAAACAGAAATCGGAGAGAGATGGGTGACGTTGTTTTCGGCAACGGCTGTTCTTCATAGCGAAGCGGTTTAAAGAAGGTTGGGAGTGGGGGGGGGGAGCTCTTTGCCCCCCAATAACGTGTCCGATTTATTTTTGAGGCAATACGCAGGGGGGCCCGTGACATCGCGTCGTGTGTTACGCGTTCGCACCGACGGCGCGAGTTGGGACCCGGGTTGTAGAGAGCGGGGGGGAGGGTGAAGGGAGAGGGAGCCAGGCCCCACCTTCCCTACGTTTCCTCTGCTTGATACGTTCCTCCTTTAGCGAAAGTGTTGATTGAGCTTTTCGTTGACTCCGCAATTGGCCCATAGTCGTGCCTTCTTCAGTCTCCGCTCGGATCGAGGGCCATTGGCCAATCGGCCGGCAATGGCCGGTGCCGTGCGTGCGCCATGCGTGTGCCAGGTGCTGGGGATGGGCGATGCGTGGAAGGGCGGCGATGTCGACCGCTCCATCGGGGGTGGCCAGAAGGTGCGGTTGCTCAAGGAGGAGATGGAGAAACACAAGGAGAGGGACGACCTGGTGGTGTTGGTCGTGGACAGGTGATCGTGGGGGAAGGGCCTCAGGATGTACACACTGTGCACCCCACCCACCCCACCCCACGCACCCCACCCACCCCACCCACGCACCCCACCACCCACCCACGCACCCCACCACCCACGCACCCACCCACGCACCCCTCCCACCCACCCACGCACCCCACCCACCCCCCCACGCACCCCACCCACCCCTCCCACCCACCCACGCACCCCACCCACCCACGCACCCCTCCCACCCACCCACGCACCCCACCCATCGCACCCCACGCACCCCACCCACGTACCCCACCACCCACCCACGCACCCCTCCCACCCACCCACGCACCCCACCCACCCACGCAAGCACTCGGCGGAGGAGCCACGTTGACGGATGTGGAAGTCTGCACGCGCACTCGCCGGCGACTCCAATGGAAAAAAAGAAAAATCGTGCACGCAGCGTGGATTCTGTAAGTCTCTCCATGCGTGCGCTGGCCCTGGGAAGTCTTTAGAGGGCCCCAACAGCGTTACCGTCCGAGCCAGAATGAGATGACGTCGCGCCGAGTGATCGGGAGGGCCAAGTCGCGCACGCCGAGCGTGACATCATCATCATCATCGCCTCGTTATCCATTCAGCTGTGCACTTTTATCGCCAACTTTTGCAAATTTAATATATATACGTCCGGTTTTCCATCGGCTTAGTTGCTCGTAGCAACGCAACTTTGCACGATAATTATGTCGGCGTTGAATCGATCCCCTTTTCGTGAGTTATCGTGTGACCCAGTGTGACAGACAGACGGACGGACAGAAGGACAGAGCTCATGTGTTTCAAACCTTGGTTGCAAAGCGATTAATAAACAGACGCGAGCGTGGACACGTGCACAAAAACAAGACAAAGACCCCCCGTATAGCCTTAACAGACTGTTGGGGCAAATGCTGTAAGCGAGTAGCACCGATGAAGGCCGGCACGGCACACCAGGGGGTGGGTGACCAGCACCACGCTCGGCCGCCTTTGTCTTCCCAGTGGCGATGTTTTTGCGCACCGCACCAGGTACTCATTTGAGGCTGAGTCGACCTAGTTCAAATAATCGTCACTGCTGTTGGTCGTGAGCGGGGATCGAACCCGGGTCGCCGGGTTCGTAGCACAGCGCACACACACACAGACACACGCACAGACACACACACAGACACACACACGCACAGACACACACACAGACACACGCACAGACACACACACAGACACACACACGCACAGACACACACACCCACAGACACACACACACGCACAGACACACACAGACACACACACACGCACAGACGCACGCGCCCGAAGTTAAACAAGGAGCGCATTCCTGCGCGCCATTTCCCAATGAGATTTATTATTCACAGAGGTGCAATCCGCACAAACACACACACACAAGCCCCGCGCACAGCACACACACATGCAAAGCACATGCAAAATACCGACGCAGCCGCACAAAGGTAGGCTTACTCGCCGCTTCAGGTTATGCAACGGCACTTAAAAAATGTTGAATCTGTTGTTACGCCGGACGGTGCAACCGTCGGAATCGTGCGCGTGGCAATTAATCGTTTTCCATAATTACGCGTTTTGATATGCCGTGGCTTCACGTGACCCCAGCATCCGCTAGAGGTGATCCATTAACCGCAGCGTTAAAACATATAATCAGGTCTTCGATGCTCCGGTGTCCTGGGGGGCGGAGGGGCTGAGAAGATGGATGCATAAACCCAGCCCCGACTGAGAGTGGGGATCGTGTCCAGCACCACGCCCTTCCACCTCTGGCGATGTTTACACGCTGCATCACCAGCAATTGATTTAAGGCCGAGTCAACCTAGAGGAGGCCCAGCACCAGTGAGGATATCGCTCCGCCCACCGATGTCCACGCCTACGGGGTCAAGAGCGAGGGCGAGCACCGCTAGTACATAAGCAAAGATAAACATACCCCGTGTAGCCTCTGAATAGGCTGTCGGGGCAAGTGCTGTTAGCGAGCACCTATAAAGGCCGGCACGGCACACGAGGGGGTGGGTGGCCAACACCACGCCCGGCCGCCTTTGTCTCCCTAGTGGCGATGTTTACTAGTTACAATACACCAGGTACTCATTTAAGGCTGAGTCGACCTAGGGGAGGCCCGGGACCGATTCAGATAATTGTCACTGGTGTTGACCGTGAGTGGGAATCGAACTCGGGTAGCCAGGTTCGTAGCGCAGCATAGCGCCAACCGCGGTAGTGTAACGGCCAACACCAGTGATGACTGTCTGATCCGGTCCTGGGTCTCCCCTAGGTCGACTCAATCTCAAATGAGTACCTGGTGCGGTGTGTAAAAACATCGCTACTGGGGAGACAAAGGCGGCTGAGCGTGGCGCTGGCCACCCACCCCATCGTGTGCCGTGCCGGCCTTGACCCAACAGTCTGTTCAGGCTATACGGAGGATCTTTGTATTTGCACGCACACACACACACAGGCGCACACACACACAAGTGCAGTACATTCACAAATAGCGACTCGCACGCACACACCCACGACAACGTACACGAGGGTTTGTCCATGGGGAGCCGGAGAGGAAGGAGCGATGCAAATTCCAGACATCTCACGTAGAAAGCATTACACTGGGAACCTGTTCCCAGTGTAATGCTGTGCAGTGTTGCTATTAATTACTGACATTCTGAAACATATTTCTACGTATTTAATTATGGGGTTCCTATTGGAAAAGTGACTGGAAGAAAAGTGCAGCCAGGTTTTGTGAAGTGTTTGGGTCTGTGTTGGGTTCTTTTTTTTATTTTTCTAATTCACATCGTAGTCATTTCCTTTGGAATCTGAAAAGTCGAAAACAAATAAAAGACCTCGACAAAGCAGAGTTTCTCTTCGGGAAAAAAAAAACAGGCAATTTATGACTGTTTTGTAGCTAAAGAAAATAATAATGAAAAAATCTAAAGAGGGAAAAAAGTATATGTATAAATACCAAAACACCTGTTGCGGCCAATAATTTCCGACAAACGTAAAATCAAACACAGCCGCTGCTGCGCCATGTGGGTGAGATCGTCAATGGTCGTGGGGTCCGTGCGGGGTGCAGACGCCTGACCGTTCTGGCAGCCCCCCGCTGGCTGTGCCGCTCTCTCTCTGTCTTCTCTATTTGTCCCCATCTCTCTCTCTTTGTCCCCATCTCTCTCTCTCCCCCATCTCTCTCTCTGTCCTCTCTCTTTGTCTCCATCTCTCTCTTTGTCTCCATCTCTCTCTTTGTCTCCATCTCTCTCTTTGTCCCCATCTCTCTCTCTCTGTCCCCATCTCTCTCTCTCTCTCTGCGATCTCTCTGTGCTCTCTCTTTGTCCCCGTATCTCTCTCTTTGTCCCCATCTCTCTCTGTGCTTTCTCTTTGTCCCCATCTGTCTCTTTGTCCCCATCTCTCTCTCTCTCTGTGCTCTCTCTTTGTCCCCATCTCTCTCTGTGCTCTCTCTTTGTCCCCATCTCTCTCTGTGCTCTCTCTTTGTCCCTATCTCTCTCTTTGTCCCCATCTCTCTCTGTGCTCTCTCTTTGTCCGCACCTCTCCCTCTCGTTTTGCCTCTCCCCCCATCGCAACGCCCCGAGCGGCGCGCCACGGAGCTGAGCCCTGTTACCCCTCGACGCGTCGCCGCCATCACCGCCGCCGCCGCCACGGTTTGGCGTCACCGCTCGGCGTTCGTGCCGCGGTTCCCGTGCAGTCAGTCTCGAGGTGTCCTGTGGCAGGGGACGCCCCGGTGGCAGCTGTCTCTGTGAGGCACTGGGTGACCGCAGAGCCGACCCCACCAAAGGGCTTTGCTTTAGTCTAAAACTAAACGGTGTTATTTGTTTATTTTACGAGGTAAGGCCCCCACTGAGCTGTGTAGCTCTTTATTAGAAGCGACCTGGCCACAATTTATCGTTCAACGAAGTGGCTTACCACGTTGACATTTATAGCAGCACAAATACTCTCAACGCGTGACGTTGATTTCTAAATGTGGAGGGAAAAACCGGAGGAACCAGAGACAAATCCACGCAATCACGGGGAGAGAGATACGCGCAAACTCCAAATATACACGCATCAAGGTCGGGATAGAAGCCACTACCTCCTGTATACCGGACGAGGTAGTCAACATCTCGCCCGCGTGGCGCCCATGATAACAGTCGCCCGATAGAGGGGAGGTGGACGATGTTGCGGCTGCGTGGCTTGACTCGATAAGTATTTTTCGGTGTCACTTTACGAGTAGTTTTTTTTTTAATTTGGCAAAGTTTGTACCGTGACGTCGGCACGCGTGGCTCCCCCCTCCCCCCTCCCAAAGCTTTTTCGGATGAAGCCATCAAGCCGATCTTCATCGGCGTCTGTTCTTAGTTAATGCACCCACGGTACGAACCCGGGCTCAAACCGCAGACCGCTGTAGCAAGCGACGCGCGTGCTACCGTTTGGCCATGCCGCCGAGACCGCTCCCCGACCCTCGTCCTGTGTCCCGCAGCCGCCGCACACGTGCTGTGCGCACTGTGCGCACACGTGCTGTGCGCACTGTGCGCACACGTGCTGTGCGCACACGTGCTGTGCGCACTGTGCGCACACGTGCTGTGCGCACACGTGCTGTGCGCACTGTGCGCACACGTGCTGTGCGCACTGTGCGCACACGTGCTGTGCGCACAGTGCCGGCGGCGGTTCGTGCGCGAGCCGCTGAGTTAGCGGCGCTTGCACTGCCGGCGAGCAATCCGGGGGGCGATTCCTGACCCCCCCCGCCCCCCCCCCCCCCCCCCCCCCCCACGGTGCATGTGATAGGCATTTGTGCAACGAGTTGGTATCGGTGCCTGATGTGGGCCCTGCCGTGGGTCCACTCGGCCTACAATGCATAGACAATCTCGTGTTTGGAGCGGGTCAACAAACATCGGTGTGTTCGAGAGGCACACAGGCTGCCCGGCATGCCTGCGATGGGCGCCGCGGTGGTAAGGAGATGTTATTTCCCTCGCCTGGTGCGCAGGAGGTCGTGGGTTTGATCCCCAGACCCTCACGCTGCCTCTGTATTTTGGAGTATGCGTGTTCTCTCTCCCCGTGGTGGTCCCGTGGATTGTTCTCCGGGTCTCCTCCATTTTGGCTCCACACCACATTTAGAAACAATGCGGGTTTAGATTAGTTGGCTGCTGATATACATTTCCCACGTGTGATGATGGTATTGATATAAGCCACTTCGATGAGCTGTCATGTGTGGCCAGGTCGCCTCTGAAAAAGAGAAAATAACTCGGTGGATTTTACCTTGTAAATAAACTAGCCGAGTTATAGATTATTGACGCTGGCCCACACCATGCTTGTCTCACATGTGTGCCGCGTTGGCTTTGATGGACGCTCGCTCACAGCGATTGCCTCCGCAGCCTCCGCACCCCAAAGAGAGTGTGTGCGTGTGCAGATTGTGGGGAGCGGTAGTGCAGTGGTTGGCGCACTGCGCATCGAACCCTGCGATCCAAGTGTAGTGTCAGTGAGTCGGAGACGATGTTTGTAGAGGCGCCTTCTTTTATAAACACACACGATCTCGCCCGCACACACTCCGTACTCGCTAGCCCATGACACAACACGAGCCGTCTAGTATCGGCGGCAGTGACTGAGATAGCTAACAGGCTGTCTAGCAGCGCAATGAGCTCCCACTCTGGGCCCCTTTCATGCTACCAGCGTGGCCTGGCTCCGCCCTGGCCGCGCCTCCCTTCTCGAACCAACCGGCAGGTTCCAAGAGCTTCCAGATGGGGCCCTCCATGACCCTTGCCCCAGTTCCTCCGCCCTGCCGACACCCAGCCATGTAGATGCTCACCGGCGTGTGTAATGTTTGTCCACCGCACTTGCCGCTGCTGCTGGTCACCAGCCGGCGCTACTACACTACACAAGTTTGATTCCCGCTCAGGGCCAACGACGAATATTAAAACCGGTCCTGGGCATCCCTGACTCGGCCTCAAATGAGCGCCTTGCTGCGGTGTGTAAACATCACCGCTCGGGAGACAAAGGCGGCCGGGCGTGATGTTGGCCACCCACCCCCTGCGCGTGCTGTGGCAGGCTTCGTAGGTGCTACTCGTTCATAGCACTTGCCCCTACAGCCTGTTAAAGCTATACGGGTGATATTTGTTTTTGTGTGTGTACGTGCGCGCACGTGTGCCCTGGGCTATTACGGGGGGGGGGGGGTGACCCGGGTCGCGTGGGGTCGCCTGGCGGTCGTGCTCTCTCTCTCCGCTCCGGGCGCAGCTACGACCTGATCTTCGCGAGCGGCCCCTCGGAGCTGCTGCGCAAGTTCCAGCAGACGGGCCACCGGCTCGTCTTCTCCGCCGAGGCGCTCGTGTGGCCCGACCGGCGCCTCGCTGACAAGTACCCGCACGTGCGCAGCGGGAAGCGCTTCCTCAACTCCGGGGGTGCGTGTGTGCGAGCGTGCGAGCGTGTGTACACACACACAGCGGTTGGCGCGCTACGCTGCGCTATGAACCCGACGACCCGGGTTCGATTCCCGCTCTCGGTCAACACCGGTGACGATTATCTGAACCGGTCCCCGGCCTCCCCTAGGTCGACTCAGCCTCAAATGAGTACCCTGGTGCGGTGTGTAAACAAAGGCGGCCGGGCGTGGTGCTGGCCACCCACCCTCTCGTGTACCGTTCCGGCCTTCATAGGTGCTACTCGCTAACAGCACTTGCTCCTACAGTCTGTTAAGGCTATACGGGGGATCTTTATCTTTGTGCATGGGGAGCCAATGACTGGCACCAGCGGTGTCAAGATCGGCCTCTGTGGAGGAGGCTCGTGAAGGACGCTGCTGGGCAATTAGAGGCAGTCGCCCTCCAGCAACAACGGAGGGCGGAGGAGCCTCTGTTGTTGCTGAAGGGCAACAACAATGAGCGGAGTGCCCGGGCAGCTAAAACGCAGTGCGAGTCGGCACAGTGGGGGGCACAGGTGGTGCATCGGCCAGTCATCTCTGTCAACCCACGGCACCTGGGTCTGTCCCGTGACCTCTTGCCAGTTGGCGTTCGACACTTGACGTGACCTTAAAGTGCACATAACCTGGCACAAGCGCCGTGGTGACGTCACCGCCACTTAGTGGTGAATGGCGGTTGTTGTTGTTGGGGAGTAGTTGTGTCGCGGTTAGCGCGCTGCGCTACAAACCCAGCAACCCAGGGTCACTCATGGTCAACACCAGCGACGATTATCTGAACCGGTCCTGGGCCTCCACTAGATCGACTCTGCCTCAAATGAGTACCTTGTGTGATGTATAAACATCGCCACTAGGGAAACAAAGGCGGCGGGGACGTGGTGCTGGCCACCCACCCCCTCGTGTGCCGTGCCGGCCCTCATAGGGACTCACTAGCAGCACTTGCCCCAAGGGTCTGTTCAGGCTAGGATCTTTGTCTGTGTGTGCGTAACGGTGGATGGGGTGAGAACGTCAGAAGCAGTGGGCGCCTCCAAGTCAGGGTGGGGATCATGGCGGCAATGGCTCCCCTCCACTTTCGATCCCGACATTGGTGTTTCATTGATATCTACCAGCGACAATACGTTTAATGGTTTTTATTTCTTTATTATTAATAATATAGGGCCTTATTTAAACATCTTGATAAATCAGGACCACCACCGCCACCCCCTCGGTCGTTTCTAGATCTGCCTCTGGGTTTAGTCTGGGAGGTGGCCGGGTGGGTCAAAGGTCAGACACACAGACAGGCGGTCGGATGAATGGAGCGATGAAAGGACTGACGCCCAATAACCGCACACGGGTCAAAGTGGGCTCCCTGCTCAAGCGAGCGAGCGTAGCCCAACGCTCGTTTATCCGTCGGTGGTCCCCAGCCGTCGATGGAAATTCCACATTCTCATCGCGAGGTCCAGCCTGTCCACAAGACGACCACTGTTGACTTCTCCACGAACGTCACCTGTGGAGGAGTGATGATGGATGATGGGTGGAGACGATTAACGGAGGAATGATGACTGGTGGAGGTTGATGATGATATCGCTGCTGCTGATGATGACAATGTTGATTCTACGATGATCATCATACTGTGGATGCTGCTCAAGGTGATAACGGTGACGACGATTCAACGATGATCCAACTGTGGCTACTGCTGAAGATGACGATGGTAATAATGATCATCACACTGCTGCTGACGATGATATTGAACCGCGCCGTGTGGTGTGTGGCGACCCCGCGCCAGGCGTTGTGGGCCTCGCCCCGGCCCTGCACCAGGTGGTGTCTCAGTGGGAGCTGCGAGATGACGACGACGATCAGCTCTTCTACACCAAGGTCTACATCGACCCGGCCAAGCGGGTATGGGGAGGCCCCGTGGACCCGCCAACCCCACTCACTGCCTCCGGCCCTTTCCTGCTGTTGAAGCTGCTACTGCAGATCAGAGCTGGTGCAAGTTGGGGGGGGGGGGGGGGGCGGTGGTGGTGGTGCTGGATAGAATCTACGCACGTGCATAATTTTTCTTCCTTGGCTCAGCGATCGAGCGAGCGGCCAATTTCAAATGCTGCTTGTGGGGTTGACGCAGCTCATCAACCCTCATTCCGGGGCGGATAAAATGAGCGTCACTTTGTGGGCAGGTAAAGTGTTTTTTTTTTCTATGAATAGACTCAGCCCTGCCATGTGAACGTGCAATTTCCCCCCTTGCCTCAGGACTGTGAATGGTAAAACTGTCTCCCACGGTGGCTAGGAGATGTTAACTACCTCGCCTGGTATGCAGGAGGTTGTGGGTTCGATCCCGACCCTGTGATACCTGCTGTATATTTGGAGTTTTTAAGTCTCTCTCTCTCGCCCTGTGGTCGCGTGAATTGTTTCTCCGGGCCCTTCGGTTTTCCCCTCCACATTTAGAATCAACATCACGTGTTTGGCTGATACAAATGTGCACGTGGTAAGCACACTTCGCTGAGCTACCGTTTGTGGCCAGGTTGCTTCTGAAAAAGAGCTACATAGCTCAGTGGGCCTTACCTGGTAAACTTAAATTAATATATTGTTTCTTACTTGTAGAATCGTGTCGCTGGCATGCCGTTTGTTAGGAGGTCTTCTCAAACTTATGCTGTGCGTCCGCTTTGTTTCTCTTTCAGAGCAAAATAAACATCACCCTGGACCACAAGTGTCGCATCTTTCAGAACCTCAACGGAGCTGTAGGTAAGAGCAATGGTTCTGTCGTTTATATCGTGTAAAGAATTAAAAAAACATTTGAGGAAAAATAATAACGAACGGCAATAATGGAATTTATTTACCCAGTTAAAGGCCCCCACTGATTCTCAAGACTCGTTTTTGGGAACGGTCACGCGTCGATCGGAATGTCAGGCTAAGCCACCAATGAGTGGCGCGTTGAAGGAGAAACCCACAGTAGCTGGAGAAAACTCCACTGCGAACGTGGATACAACACTCAGAGTCTCATACAGGCGGCAGGCCCACGTAACCCGCTTGCCGGACTGTGGCATTCCTGGCCACCACCTTGCAAATCCCAGCGCTCCACCAACCCTGCCTCCCCAAACGCGACAGATCGCAGGCGAGCTTGAATACACCTGGGCAAACATCCGAAGCGGAATTCTTCAGAAAAATAGTCTCGAAGCTCGGTGAGGTTTTCGTAGGTAAATAAGCAAAGTCAACATCAGTCTGGTGGACGCCCCTTGCTATGCTGGCCATCGGTATGGCGATGTTAAATTTCCATCGGTGCCCCCCTCCCCACCACCACCATCAAAAAATGCCAACGTTGGCTCAACGTTGGCATGTGGTTGGGAACCATTGGACCAACGCTGGGCCACTGTTTTATGTTTACTGGCTGAGAGCTGTGGTTCGATTTAACCACACCACCCAAATTGCTGCTCATTCCGACAGAGAGAGAGACTTGGATTTTTTTGCTCAAATAAACAATCTGGCCGGGTGGCTCGGTGGCAGAACGCGAGCGGCTTGCAATCAGAAGGTTTTAGAGTACAAATCCTGGTTGGAGGGGGGGGGGGGGCAGTTGACTCGGCCCATCATCCCTCGGGGGTCAATAAAATAGTTACAAGAATGGGGCGAGGGGGGGAAGTCAACAACTTGAGAGATTTCCGGGAAACCGCCCACGATTTTAACCCGGTTGTCAAGTGTAGCGAGTTCGTGGTTTTAGCTCGGTGGAAAAATGGCACAAAGCAAAACCCATCTTTGCCAGGTTTGCTTTTTCCCTTAAATTTCGCAAAAATTCCAGCTCTGAGGAAGAAAAAGAACAGTTTAACCGTTCTGAAACAAACATTTCTCGGTAGCAGCGCAAATGGGAAAGTGCGGCTCAACAATGGTCTCTCAAAAGAATCTCCGAATCAGTTCTGCGGTATCTACTTCCGCGTGCCGCCGTTGGCTAGCGCACGGGGGCGGTGCCCCCCGGCTGTGCGAGAGTTTCGTCTCCTGGCGGCGGGGACGCAAGCGGAGAAAACAATTCAGGAGGGGAACAAAAAAAAAAACTTTCATTTGGTGCTCAATTTCCCAAATTCAAATGCGCGTCAGTGTCCGGGTCAACCGCCTCTCGGTGTGTAACTATTTGTGTGCCTGCGTGCGTGCGTGCGTAGATGAGAGGCGCGTGTCTGGTGAAGGTACAGCCTCTTTGATTTAAGCCTCCATTTGGAGCGGTGTCACTCTTCCATACTCGCAACGCCTCCCCGAATCCCGCCTCCCGCCCCGGCTGTTGCATGCCAGCGTCTCTTCGACCCGCGCTTGCCGTCGGGCCGGACTTGGCGGGGGCTGGCGCTCCGCTCGGTGGCAGACCACGCGGGGTTCCTCTCGCGCTCGGTGTCGCCGGCTTGCACGCCGCGGTGACGTCGCCGTTCCCGGCTCCACTCTGGCTCCACTCTGGCTCCACTCTGTCCCCCCCCCCCACCCCCCGCGTGCGCGTTGACGGAGCCGCACGCGCGAATCCGTCAGCCGCACTTCGCGCCGTCGGTGCAGTTTGTTCTGAACAAGCCGCATGTGTTCGGAACAAGTAGGCGTTTGTGTGGAACAAACGTCGCCTTTGTCTCGGTGGGCGATTTGCCCCTCTGCTAACGGCGATGCGGCTCGGTGAAAGAGATCGAAGTGTAATGCTGTCCGAGTCTTGTTTTGACTCTTCGATTGCGTTGGCGTTGTCACCGCTACTTCCACACGCACCGACACATGGAACACGCACGCGCGACAACAATCACTCGTACACGCGCAAATGCTGACGCCTAAACACACGCACACAATAACGTGACTTTGCGTGCACACGCGGAACACCGTCCTTCACGGCGAATCTCACCGACGGCAGACGAGGTGGTGCTCAAGTTTGAGACCGGGCGTGTGCGGGCGCGGAACACGGCCTACGACACCCTGCCCGTCGTGATCCACGGCAACGGCCCTACCAAGGTCAGCACGCACGCACGCACGTACGCACAAACAGGAATCCCAATGTCCAGTTTACTTTCATTGTAGCGTCGTTGTTAACGCAAATCGCCGAGAAACCACGGTTAAGCTGGAATTCGGCAACAACAGGCGGTGAACCGGCATCAACAGTTGCCGAAGCTCTGCAGTCCTCTGTGTGTTAAGCTGCTTTGAGCCAATTAATGAGTGTGTACACGTGCATACAGAAGACAAAGATCCCCACCGCCCATAGCCAGACGGATTGTCGCGGCAAGTGGCGATAGCGCGAGCACTTGCGAAAGTTTGCCACGGTGCACGAGGAGGTTGTGACGCCAGCACCACGCCCGGCCGCCTTTGTCTCCCCTGCGGTGATGATTACACGCCGCAACCAGGCTCGGTCGACCTCAGGGGGAGGCCGAGGACCACCGGTTAAGATAACCGCCGCTGTTGAATGTCGCCACCGATGTATGAATGTTGAACTTCTCCTGCACCGTGCTAATTGGAGGTGCGGGAATGATGATGTTAGCCTTAGCCAGGAATCGGATTGGGGCCGCCACTTTCGTACGGGGGGGGGGGGGGGGGGGGGGGAGGGGTACGCAGTGCAGTAGTTCCAAGTCGGTGCGAGGCTTTGTGGACGAAGAGGCCGGCTCCGAACGTGATATGAACTGTTGGCGGGCGAGCGGGCGAGAGCCTTCCCGTTTTGATTTTCACCACTCCGTGTTCGTGGACCTGGAATTTCTTTCACCGTAAACGTCAAAACAGAGGCCCCAGAGGAAGAGACGGGGAGTTGCTGTTGAAGGGAAATGGGGTGAGGGGGGGGTGCTGGGTGGAACGGGGGATCCGGGGGGGGTGGGTGCAGTAATAGAAGGTCAAGGGCTGGGAGGAAGGGAGGAGGTGGAACAGCACGCCATGAAGAGCACAGGTTGTGGAACTCACAAAGAGTTCCTTAACGCGGTGGGTGCGGTGCTGGGAACGTGAAGGACTCCGCGCTCTGAGCTGGTGGGGGGGGGGGGGGGGGTGGGCGGCCTGTGTCGACTGTCGTTGGTCCGTACGAACGCGAGATTAATAGCCGCTCGCTAACTAGGAGCACCGGCACGGAGCAGGTCACGCCCGCCGTTTGGCACGTGCGCGTAGTGAATCGTGAGCATTGAGTTGGGATTAAGTCAATTAATAAAAGTTGGCGGGGGGGGGGGCAAATAAATCTTGAATGTGTTTCTTTGTGTGAAATTGTTGCGACGTTGCCGCTAGCGCTGCGGTGTTTGCGCGGCACGCTGAGTCGCATCGTGACCCGAGCGCTACGCAGAGAAGAGAATAAGGGAGTCTCACATTGGGCTGATTGGTCATGAATAGCACGACTCATTGCGCTACACGATGGAGCCTCGTGCGTACCTGTGCGGAGAGCGGTAATGCGGTGGTTAGCCCGCTGTGCGCGCGTGGGTGCGAGTGTTGTCGGGAGCGGTGGCACCAGTGGTTAGCGCGCTGCCCCTACAAACCCCGGCGACCCGAGTTCGATTCCCGCTCACGGCCAACACCAGTGATGAATATCTGAACCGGTCCTGGGCCTTCCCTAGGTCGACTCAACCTCAAATGAGTACCTAGTGTGGTGTATAAGCATCGCCACTGGAATACAAAGGCGGTTGGGCGTGGTGCTGGCCAGCCACCCCCTCGTGTGCTATACCAGCCTTCACAGGTCTTCGCTAACAGCACTTGACCCAACAGAAGTCTCTTTAGGCTATACGGGGGATCTTTGCCTTTAGTGGGAGTGCATCTGCCATTCGTCCCATTCCGTCAACGCATCACACCCTGGGTGTGTCCCCTTGACTTCCTGCCATCAGTGAGTCTACCATAACTTAACGCGGACTCAAAGTGCACCCAGCCTGGTACGAGCGCTGCGTGGTGGCTTTACCGCCGCTCGGCTGGTGAATGCCGGCCGGCTGGCTGCTGATGTCGTCGTTGTTGCACAGATGCAGCTGAACTACCTGGCCAACTACATCCCCAACAGCTGGACGTTCGAGACGGGATGCGGGGTCTGTGACGATGGCGTCGTGGACTTATCGGCCCTGACCGTGAGTGCTGCCCACCCACGCGGAGCAGAGGAAGCGCGTCTCCAACACCTCGCCACGTTTCTCAATAAAAAAAACCCTTGGCCGTGCCGAGAGACGTCTGCAAGTTGGAGGGCGGCTCGGCGTTGAATTTACTTAAGGGAGCCGTAGCGCCGTTGTTTTTGAAGACGTCGCGCTCACCGCGGAGGACTGTAGCGACACGACCGCGCTTTACGACAGCTGGCGCCAAGCCGTACCGTGGGCCCTCCCGCATGGCCTTGTGGGAGCCTCGGTACCAATAAAGTTATTTTAGTTAGTGTTATTCTCCCGGTTCCGTTCCGATGACGTACACGCACGTAATCGGAAGGGGGGAGAGAGGGCTAACACTGCATCACTCTTAAACCCCGCCTATACCTTTGAGAACAAAAGTGGTGTAAGGTTCAATCAATTACAGCGGTCAATCTTTATTGTACGTGCCAATATCGCCCTCAATAAAGAGCGCATGGGAGCATATTACAGCGGAAACGCTAAACGGTATAGAGGACACGGAGCAACGGGAATGAGAGAGAAAGCCATCACGACCTCGGCGGCTAACACCGACCGAGCAGAGTAAATTGCAATCGTGCGCAAAGTTAAGTGCAACACGTGCGCAACGAATAGCATCAGAGAGGTGAGTAGTAAATAATAAAGTAAAAGGAACTTTGTATGATGATGATTATTATTATTTTAGGTTGAGTGACAGGTGATCGGGATGACCCCCCCACCCAGAGACAATGATGGCACGGGGCTCTGCAGACTGACCACTGTGACAAATATCGATTGGTCAGTGTGCTGTGAAGAAGGAACATTGCCTGATACAGTCGAGTTTTTACATGTACTCATAATCTCATATTAAGGCAGTGTTACTTTTGTTGTTTACATATGAGTTCAATAATTAATCGCCGTCAACTCCCGTTTATGATTTCTGCAACTTAATTTAACAATGGACGGTTTATATTCTTGGTTCTTTCGGTAAAGTCACGTAGAAGGGAAACAATAAATGCTAAAAATATAAAACAATAAAATTCTCACGACGTTTTGACTGCAACACAAGCAATCATCATCAGGTGTGAAAACCACAGCAAAATAAATAAACAGCCACTTTTTTAAAAAAATTCTTGCTGTGGTTTTCACACCTGATGATGATTGCTTGTGTTGCAGTCGAAACGTCGTTGAGAATTTTATTGTTTTATATTTTTATTATTTTATTGTTTCCCTTCTACGTGGTGACTTTACCGAAAGAACCAAGAATACGAATCCCTGCAGTCACGAAAGCTTTAAATCAAAATGGACGGTCTTTGTTTCAGTAATCTGTCCGAGCAAACTTGCGTGAGAGTGGGAACAGCTCCGCGCACGACGTAATGTCGTCTTCTATTCCTGCACCGTTTTAGATCTCCACCACCTCCCCCCCCACCAACCCCACCCGGGCAATGTCGTCGGTTTTTTTTTTATCCTCCGATTTGTATTTTGCTTCACCGTCCCATTTAGTTTTTTACGCGATTCGCTTTCACCAATTTTTGTTTTGGTGGATGGGGGGGGGGCGGTCAAATGAGACTCTCTCAGTCCCTGGTCTCTTGGCGACCTCTCTCAGCCCGGTCGAACGAAGTCTCAACTCGGCCAAGTCCCGACCCCCGCGGAGTGTAGAAGGCGCGCGCCCCCTTGTGGCGGCGCGCGGCATGTGCGCAAAGAACGATCTCAACCGGAGCGTGAAACGATGAGCTTAACGTCATCAAAAAAGTCCTCTTTAAATCACCCTACAAAATTACACCGACTTGTTTTATGGTCCGTTCCTCGGGCCCCCTGTACAAACAGTCGGTGGCGCGCGTTACCCGATTTTAGTCGAGCAATCGGACGAACGCATGGGGGGTTGTTCGGAATAGGTAGGATGGGGAAAGAGTGACATTAAATATGGATCTTCTGCTAAATAAATAATGTTTGGGATCCCGTGACCCTTGTACCTACGTTGGCTGCGGATTATAGCGCATCTGGAGCGTGTAACCGTGGCAGGATTTTACATTAAATTTACTGCCGAGTGAGGTCTGGTTTCGTGGGGGGGGGGAGTGCGAGCGCTGGGTTAAGATATTTTGCAGACTTTGGGAAATGTTCGGCAGCAACATTTTCCACCCTGGCGCGAATGTAGGCAGTTTTTTTTTCTCCCCATGTGCGCCATCGATCAGTGGGCGCAACTGGGGGACTGGGGGGGGGGGGGATAAAAGCAAAGCGAGCAAAAGCCTGAGGTCTGAAGCACCCACCTAACTTCATGACGAATAGTTGCACTGAATATCAGCTTGAATACAGATCCGAATCAACAAAATACTTAACGTCATGAAGATGATTAATCTCCCTTGCCCCCTCTGTAAGTTGTCTGCATCTCTCGCCATCTCGCTGCATCTGTATTCTTGTGTTTGCATCTCTGTAGATTCACCACATCTCTCATCCTGTGTTACCTCTTCTTTCATCCCATTACACCGGTACTGTAACTCGCGTGGGGGGCCAGGGGGTGCCTTGCCCCCCCCCCGCCCCCCCGGGGGCCACAGCTACGAGTTGGGGCCTCCGTTGACAACCACCATGAGATTTGTTTTCAACAACGTGTAAAAACAGCAACACTTTTGTAACGATTTGGATGAGGCAAGTAGGAGCCGAGAGATAAGTCAAATATTGGGGCCCCCACCTCACCGATTGTCGCGCACCCCCCCTCAGCTGATGTGGTTACTACGCCGCTGCAGTATGCCTCTACCTTTCTTTCCCCGAGTGTCTCTCAACTCGCTACACCTCCCTCTCGTCTGTTTCTCTTCTGCCCTTATCTCACATGGAGTTTATACATTGGAAGGGAGTGGGAGGGGTGCTCTTAAATCATTTCTGCTTGGGGGGGGGGGGGGGCAGCAAATCCACTGGGGGCCGCTACGTCCCAGCTGGGGGGGGGGGGGGCACTACGGCCGAACTGGGGGCAATCACTCATCTGCCTGATAAGGGGCAGGCCAGCGCCCCATCCTTCGAAAAACCAGAGTCAGCCATCGACTTCTTGCAAGCTCTGTCTGCCATGCTAGTGAGCAAATAATCCAGTCGATTTTCTTTTCACCAGGTAGTGAGAATTCTTGAGAGACCCAGGATGAGTCTCCTTACCCAGCACGACCAGAGTCACCAAAGTAACGAGTAGCAAACAGATAATAATACAAGTGTGGCAACGAAGCAAATCTAAAAATCGGGGCAAGAAAAACTTTCATTATGGAATGTTAATTCAGTGGAGACGTTTCGTGGTGGTTGGCAGCGACCTACGCAGTCAACTCTCCTTAACCCCACCCCCTCATCGTGCCACCAGCTGCCCCCCCCCCCCCTCCCGCTAAGCGCGAGGTCTTTCCACCTCCGTTTCCATGCATTCCAAATGGGGCCCCTCGCTCGTCCCCGTGGTCGACAGACGGACAAATGTGACGCTTATGTCGTAAAGTTACGTGTATGAATGTAGACATTCTTTCTCGCCGTACGTAGCCGACCGTGCTAATCGGAGGTAAAGTGATGCCACCACTGACAGTCTGCTCTGCGCCATGTACTAACTAGATTACGATTCCCCCAAAGCCCAGGTTCGATGCCTGGTCATGCCACGTGAGTCATGACCAGACCCTGGGGGCGGGGGGGCCCACGCTGGATCAGTTCGGCCAAAACCGCGTCGCAAGGAGGGAGCGAGGCGATGGGGAGGGCAACGATTTGTGGGGGGCTGCGCTTGCTTTGCTCCCCTGACCTTTGAACCCCGACTTTGCGGGCACGCGCCCCCCCCCCCCCCATCCTCTGCTTTGACCTCAGGCCGAGGAGGATTTCCCGCGCGTGATCGTTGGCGTCTTCATCGAGCAGCCGACGCCATTCCTGCCCGAATTCCTGGAGCGTCTCGCCGCCATGGATTACCCGGGGAAGCGCATCACCCTCTTCATCCACAACCGTGTATGTGCCCATGCACACTCGACCAGCATCACCGTTGCATGCACAGACCCCCCCCACTCCCCCTGTATACCCTTAACAGCCTGTTGGGGGCAAGTGCTGTTAGCGAGCAGCACCTATTAAGGACGGCACTGCAAATGAAGCGGTGGATAAGCCAGCACGACCTCCGGATTAGCCGGGTTGGCTACGTACTGTGCAAAAGAAGTTCAGCATACATACTTACCACACGTGGCTGCCTTTGTTTCACTTTTGGCCATGTCGACGGCACATCTGTGCCAGGTACTTATTAGGGGCCCAGTCGACCTAGGGGGAGTCCCAGGACCAGTTCAGATTGTCGTCTCCCATGGTGGCCGTGATTGGGAATCGGATTCTGGTGGTGCTATATGAGAGGGCAGAGGGGGGGGGGGTGTTGTCGTGCTTAGTGCAGTGGCCCCGAGTTGCATTCCCTAGGGGACTCGCAGCAGTGGGGCAAGGGGGGCGGACGTCTGCCCTGGCCACCCAAGGCAAGTTACCTGCCACCGACTTAAATTGAACCCATGAAGCAACTTGAAACAATTGTAATGACATGACACTTCTCTTGGCATGGCACTTTATTGAAGACACGTTCACTTGACATGAGGTGGAGGCCCCCCACTGTAACAGCCCGAGTCTCCTGTGCATCTTCCCCTTATATACGGAGGCCAGGCCCTCCTTGTCGCCAACTCTAGATGCTCGCCCCACCAGCAGACTATCGTCCTCTTCCATCACCTGACCACGCTCGCTTCTCCAACATTCCCGTAGCCACCAGTCCCTTCCCACTCACAACTGACTCCCCTGTCATTACCTCCCGTGGCCACTAGTCCCCTCACACCGCATGCGGGCTCAACTGTCATTACACAATCATGTAATTAGAAACGCACGTCTTTTATCAATGTTTATTTGATACACGGAATGCGTCATTTAGCCAGTGACCCAGGTAGGCACGCAACAGGTGCCTAAAGAGACCCATTCTTGTGTGCAGGTACACCAAGTTACTGGGAACCTGTGCACACAGGTGCCTGCAATGGTGCGGGGCGCATCACCTGTGCAGACAGGTCATGTGCACCACCCATGTGCAAGGGTACGCGGGGGCAGCCTTGTGCATGGCTATGCGCACCACCTGTGCACACAGGTAGTCCCATGTACCTGTGCGCTCACCGACATGCGTACACACGGGTAGTCTGACGTGCGTGCCATGCGCACAGGTATGGCCTACTACATGCCATGTGTACGCATGGGTACGCAGGCAGCCAGTGTATACACCCGTACACCCAACTGCGGGCGTGACTTGTGCGTGAGGGTGTGCGTATGCCGGTGCGTGTGCAATGGGTCACCTGTGCTTGGGTGTGTGTTGACACAAGTGTTGACGCAAGCGTGCCCGCGTGTTTTGTGCCACGCAGGAGGTGGTGCACGAACCGGCGCTGGCGGCGTTCTGGGCGCGCCACAGCGGCGCCTTCGCCGGGGCCAAGGTGATCGGGCCGGAGGAGGGGCTCACTCCCGGGGAGGCCCGGAACCTCGGCATGTGGGTCACGTGATCACGCACCGTTCCACACGACGGTGGCCATCCCTCCCTCGTGTTGCGAGAACTTTGTCTCCTCCGCGTGATCGGCCCGGCGGGTTTGCACCCTGGGAGGTGGCAACGCTGGCTCATGCTCGCTGCTGGTACTGGTGGTGTGGGCTGCAGGTCATCATGCCGGGACGACCCCACGTGCGACTTCTACTTCAGCCTGGATGCGGACGTGGTGCTCACCAACCGGGCCACCCTCAGAATCCTCCTGCAGCAGAACCGGTCGGCTGCCTCATTGTCATTGCTTCATCATTGGACTTGTCACGTGATCATTGCCTTAAATCGGTCGTCGTGACCGTCGCATTATCTCGCGAGGCGGGGCAACCCCCCTCAGGTTAGCGTGGTCCCAAGAAGCGGAAACCACAGAGCTACCTCTGAGATTATTATTTCTAGCGAGCCGTGGTTGACACGGTAGAGGACAGCACTTTCCCAACCTGCTTTGCCCATACCAGGGTAATGTTCACTGCGTGATGGCCAACCCCATACTGTAATGCTCAGAGCTGGCATTTTGGCCATACACGCAGAAGCAAATGTTAATGCAATTGGCCATTTTTTGTGCAGTCATTGCTGACAGGGCTGAGGAGACCATCTGCTCAACTGCACTGGAAAGCCTCCATTCAGCACGGTTGGCTGTGTACCATGCAAAAGAAGTTCAACATGCATACATAAAGTGTAAACTATGATTTGATACTGGCAAAAAAGGTCCCTTTTTGTAGCTGCTCACCCTTAGCAATATTCCCTGATATAGTGGCATTGTCTTTGTACCGTTTGCCTTTGGGCGTTCTCTGGTCTGACACTGGTGGTGAGACTAGGCCCTAAAGAAGGCCGTCGGTGGTGTAGGCCAAGCAGTTTAACAGACGATGCATCATTATCAGAGCAATGTTTGTTTGCATGTTCACCACAAGTACCGTGCGTGGTTAATGCAGAAAGGTTTCTATTTGGTGGTTTGAACATCTAAACATCGGGCGTTTTATTGCCAGAAACGGTAAAACACATAGGCTTTTTTTCATATTAGGATGATGCCCTCCAATTCCGTAACAGCGTTTTGAGCGTTCGACCGTGGGAATATCGGTGGGTGGTGTTTCCCCCCCCCCCCCCCATTTCAGGAAAATCGTGTCCCCACTGTTAACCCGAGCCGGCAAACTGTGGTCCAACTTCTGGGGAGCCCTGAGCCCCGACGGCTTCTACGCACGCTCCGAGGACTACGTGGACATCGTGCAGCGGAAACGCACGTACGCACACGCACGAGCCCAGACGGAGCCTGAGAACAACATTCAATAATAAGCGCAGCGTCGGTTATAAACATTCAGTAACGGTACGGTCTGAATCCTGAATATTAAAGCAGAGGGAAGAATGTGTTTGTAGAACTAAACACAAAAAACAGTTCTAAAGAAATTCGTTTGAAATCTGGACGATTTAAAAGTGCACAGCAGCTCCAGTGGCTTCCTAATATCGAAAGGAAGAGCGTTCCAAACGGCCGCAGAAGCGCATCTGAAAGCGCGGCGATGCGGTAGCCGTGTTTGTTCGATGCGACCCTGTGCTGCTCAATATGCGCAGCCACAGCCGCAGCTCTTGCCGTGGGCCTGGGGTGAACGATCGCTGCCAGATGTTTGCGAACCACGTTCCTGGACGGTGTCGAGTTTGAAAGTCCCAATGATCGAATGCGGAGCGAATCCGGTGTGGCGTGGGCGGTGCCGCGCGTGTCTCGCAGGGGCGTGTGGAACGTGCCCTACCTGGCAAGCGCTTACCTGGTGCAGGGCACGCTGCTGCGCGGAGAGATGAGGAAGCCGGACGTGTTCGTGCGCGACAACACTGACCCGGACATGGTCTTCTGCCGCCGTGCACGCGACCTGGTACCCCCCCCACCCCCACCCCCCCGCCACCATCGCCGCACCTTCCCATTAGCCGTCAACCCCCTGTACGGTTTACCCCGTATTCTTGTTCAGGGAAATTGAGTTTTCAGGTCCATACCAGCGTACAGCCGTTTCAATTCGGGCAACAGAAAAAAAACGGTTTGTGCTACTCCCTTGTGATGAGACTTTGTAGGATGAATGTTGAGGTCTGAATTGGTCTGTAATAAGGTAGGCACTGATAAGGGGTTGACAGGAATGCCTTCCCCCAGCTTGCGTACACCCAGGGCCATACAAATTTTTTATGGGGAGTGGGCAGGGGATTTTGTCCAGAACTGTATGGATGCTGAACTTCTTTCGCACTGCACGTAGCCAACCGGAGCTGAGGAGGCTCTGATGCGCGGCGGTGGTGGCGGAACCTGCACCGTAGCGGTTTTTAAACACTTGAAAAAAAGTGTGCATTCTTAATTATCTGCGACACAAAAGATTCTCCCCTGCTGGGGGCAAGTTCTGTTAGCAAAGCACCCCTACTTAGGCTGGTGCAGCGCACGAGGGGATGGTTGGCCAGCACCACGCTCCGTGCTCATGTTTTCACACCACACGAGGTACTCATTTAAGGCCGAGTTGACCTACAGGAGGCCCCCAGACTGGTTATTTTTTTTTGCTGCGAACAAGAATTTAAAAAAACTCCGTCCATGAGGCTCATCACGCGACGCACTAACCCACCGCGCTCTCCCCACTTCCTCTCGACCCACCCACCAACTAAGGGAGTCTTCATGTACCTGACGAACCACCACGAATTCGGACGTCTCATCTCAACGGAGAATTACAACACCACCCACCTGCACAACGACCTGTGGCAGATCTTTGAGAACCAAGTGGTGAGTCGGACCGACCGAAGCGATCACAAACACAACACCATCCTACTCGAGGAGGCCCTGCCGGCAGCGGTGGCACGAGGCACTTAAAAAGTCGCCTCGTACACTCGCGCGCGGTACACGCACGTCATGCGCCTAAGAATCGATTAACCCCGTTCAAACTGTGCAATTGGCTTTCAAGGAGGCGCGTCGCAGCCACTGTTGAGAGTCTCCCACATACCGCGGGACCCCAGGTCCATTATCGAATGGATTCTTCGAACTCGGGACCATCGCTCAAAATGGTGCGCGAGAGGTGGAGGAGATTGGATCATTACCTGCTTAACGTATTTAGACGTGTGTGTGTGTGGATGTGGTGAGTCCTGCCATGCGAGTGGACGTGGCGGGTTGTGGTGTGCGTGTAGATGGTGGACGTGTTGCGTGTAGATGTTGTGTGTGTGTAGGCAGGTGTTGGGAGCAATAGTGTAGCGGTTAGCACGCTGGGCTATGAACCCGGCGACACGGGTTCGATTCCCGCTCACGGCCAATAGCAGTGACGATTATCTTAACCGGTCCCGGCCTCCCCTAGGTCGACTCAGCCTCAAATGAGTACCTGGTGCAGTGTGTAAACATCGTGACTAGGGAGACAAAGGCGGTCGGGCGTGGTACTGGCCACCCACCCCCTCGTGTACCGTTACCTGCCTTCATAGGTGCTCGCTAGCAGCACTTGCCCCTACAGTCTGTTAAGGCTATATGGGGGATCTTTGTCTTTTGTAGGTCCTGTAACGTAGCCTTCACGGGCCTACAGTGCAGTTGCACCACCTGGAAAATTCACAGCCACTGCATCCACAGGGCCGGCTAACGTGGAGCAACGCCGCCCAACCTACTGCCAACCGCAGCGCCTTGTTAGCCGCAAAACTTCTGCGACTAAACTATTCAATTTACACCCCCCCCCCCCCGCCCCCAGGACTGGCAAGAGAAGTACATCCATCCCAACTGGACCAACATCTTCACTGACGACTCCATCATGAAGCAGGTGGGCGCAGGGGGGAGGGCGTCATCACTGAGGGGTCAAGTAGGGGTCATAGCATGGCCGGGTCTGTGTGAACAAGCGAGAGGTCGCCGGGGGATCATCACAATGGTGCCTATCGAACGGTCTTCTCAACTGTAGAGACTTGATAGTCATTGGTGCCAGAGCAGGGACCTCAATATTGTGCTTGGATTAACGCGTCACAAACTCTATTTGTGGGGTATTAAAAAGGGGCATTCCCCTGGTGTGCAAAAAGATCTATTCAAAAGGGATTATAAATTCTTGCGATGAATGTGACGTCATCTTTCGGGACCTTTCTCTACCGCAGGGTGGCGGCACTTCTGGCTGCGCGAGGTCTTTGACGTAAAAATTTCTCCCTCTCGCGGCGTGATGCCAGTCGCACAATCGAAACGTAATTTGGGGGGCGGGGGGGGGGGGGTGAACTAAAATAAAAACCCAAAACGCCACCATCATTCGTGTCCAATCGTGAACCGCACAACCTCGATTAGCCGAGCCATTAGAGCTCCCTCAATACCGGTCTCCTCCATCGGTTGCACCGCCGTCAACCCGTATGGTTTACACTGTAAACTTGTGCAGGGAAATTGCGTTCAGGTCCATATCGACGTACAGCCGGGCAAAAAAAACGTAATTTTTGCCTTTGTTTTGTGTTTATCCCTTGTGATGGGACTTTGTAGGATGAACGTTGAGATTTATAAGGGGCACGGGGTGACCACTAAGGTCTGAATTTGTCCATAATGAGGTAGGCAGTGATAAGGGGTCGACAGGTTTTTATGCAGTTGCTTCCAGGGGCTTCATCATTTCTCCACTCGTCTGTAGACCGCCAAGGGGCACGTGGCCAGCAGCCAGAGGTCAACCACACCACAGCGGTTCTCAACATTTTTTGGCGACGACTGTACCCCCCTCTTCCCTCGTTGAATTTTGTTTCACCCAAGTACACCCCTTGCCTGACCCAACATGGTTTGAGAAATAAATGCACGAATAATGAACGTGGATATTTTAACAGATTGCCTCATTTTGTGAGGTATCCTAACCAGCTGCCAACTACCTGCAAGCGAATAACAACAAATTCAAGGGACGCTCTCCGCCACGCGTGACGCAATTTGTTTCGTGCTCGCTGGTTACTCTCCGTCGCCACATTGTTTGTGATGGGCGAGTCGAGCGAGAAGTCTTTCACATCGTTCCAGGTTACTGTATGCATTTACATTTTATCGTTGTTACTTTAATCTTGGCAGATGCACCACACGCGATTATTCACCAATGACTCACGTACGATATCATTTCACACATTTCTTAAGCGCCTCATACGTACCTCCCAGGGACATTGCCACGCCCCCCTCCCCCCAGGGGTCTGCGGTCCCCCCCCCAGCTGAGAACCACCGCTCTGCTAAGTGCGGTGCGTCGGTACGCGAGCGTTGACCTCCCGCTTCGTCTCCGCGAAACCCCGCCATCTCGTGCCTCCCCACCACCACCCCCCTACCAGCCGTGCCCCGACGTCTTCTGGTTCCCGATCTTCTCGGACGTCATGTGCGACCACCTGGTGGAGGAGATGGAGCACTACGGCCAATGGTCCGGAGGGTCCAACAAGGTCCGTGCGCGTCGCTCCTCGCCGGTCACGCGCAGGGCCCCGACAGACACAGGAACGAGGAGGAGGGCCACCCCCTCGTCGTGTCCCAGTGGGTTCGTGGCATCTCCTGGTTAAATAAAGGATGACGAAGCGGGCCTCCAAAGATATTTTTGCGGCGCTAAAATGATCGGCGTTCGTTTTTGTGCGTTATGGCTAGGCCACGTTGTGGTTTTATGCCACAATGTTTGTCTGAACAGAAGTTACACGGACCGTTGGTCTTGGCAGCGAAACCCACGTTTTGAAAACTTAATCACTTTTGTAACCGTGATCCTTACTTGTGCAGTATCGATAGTTCACTGTTAGTGTGCCATTTTACTGAGAGACTATTGTGTGCTGTTACCTTGGTGTGGTCTGGGACTGTTTTGTTGTTTTTGCTGCCTTGCCCCCAAGCTTGATGAATCGGACTTGTATCATGATTTTATTTATATTTAGCGCTTTCTCTATTTTGCACTCCTGTCGTTTGTTGTTGTAAACTTAATCTTTGGTTTTTTCGGTAAAGTCGCGTAGAAATAAGAAAAAATAAAATTACATAATATACGACGTTTTGATTGCAACAAAAGCAATCATCATCAGGTAGAGGAAACACGTAACCGCAGATATATATACAGACCTTAAGTAGAGGGAATTAACACAGATATACCAGGGGATACAGAGAGACGGAGCATCACACTAAATCAAACAGGGTTTAGCGAAATTTGGAAACTATGTAAAGCAACAGACGGTCGGTTAAAACACATTTAACGCATGGTCTGGTTGAATACACTATTTCAAAGATTGTTAAATTGTAAGTTGTGTGAAATTTAAGATAGTGATAGAATACATACCGTAGAGAGACCTATGGGGGGAGACACGCACACAGTTAAGAGGTAAAGCAGCTCTGTACCGAGGCCTTAAATAGCCAGAGATGGAGGGACTGGGACTCGGAGACAATGGGACACAAATTAGCATGATACAAGTTATCAGGCACACAAATTTCACTCAACTTACAATTTAACAATCTTTGAAATAGTATATTCAACCAGACCATGCGTTAATTGTGTTTTAACTGACCATCTGTGTTGCTTTACATAGTTTCCAAATTTTGCTAAACCCTGTTTGATTTAGTGTGATGCTCCGTCTCTCTGTATCCCCTGGTATATCTGTGTTAATTCTCTCTACTTAAGGTCTGTATATATATCTGCGGTTACATATTTCCTCTACCTGATGATGATTGCTTGTGTTGCAATCGAACCGTCGTATATTATGTAATTTTATTTTTTCTTATTTCTACGTGACTTTACCGAAAAAAAAAACAAAGATTAATTCCTGCAGTCACGAAAGCACCAAATCGAGTTTGTTGTAAACTTGCCGACCCGCTCGTACCACACCGGGCGACTGTGAAACAAAGCGCTTCATAGCTCATCGGATTCCTCCTCCTGCAGTCTAAATAAAGGCTGCAAACGATTGCGTGCGGGCAGGACGAACGCATCTCGGGCGGCTACGAGAACGTCCCCACCATCGACATCCACATGACCCAGGTGAACTTCGAGCGCGAGTGGCTCAAGTTCCTGCGCGACTACATCGCGCCCGTCACCACCAAGCTCTTCGCTGGCTACTACCCCAAGGTGGGCCCCCCCTCCACAGAACCTCCCCCCTCTCATTCCTCTTGCATGTTAGGGCGCCTCGATGGAGAGATGTTAGCTACCTCGCCCGGTATGCAGGATGTCGTGGGTTCGATCCCGACCCGGACTTCCGCTGTATATTTGGAGTGTGCACGTGTCTCCCCGTGATCGCGTGGATTTTTCTCCAGATCCTCCGGTTTTTCCCTCCACATTTATAAACATGCGTTTAGAATATTTGGCTGCTGCTATACATTTGCATGTGATTAGCCACTTTGTTGAACTATCATTTGTGGCTTGGTCGCTTCTGAAAAATACCTAATATAGCTCAGTGGGCCTTATCTGGTAATGTAAAAAAAATGCTTAGTTTAAATAGTTTAGGAAATTGGAATTGATTATTATTTTAGCATTGTTTATCATTGATTTGTGGACAAAGCCTCTTCATGATCTGGCCACATTTTAGGTCTTAAGAACCTCCCTCCACCACCCGACACAAATTAAATTGGTCGCACGTGCAAGCATTTAACGTGCCAATTTATTTATATATCTGTTCAGCACGCACAATAATTTAAGCTTATTTGAATTTAGATGCACATTTGGCAAGATCGTTACGTGGCCTAACCCGTGAAAAAAACTCAACTATGAATTACGTTTGCAGCGAAAACCTCGCTATAAAGTTAAGATTATTATTGAATTCTTCTTCCTCCAAGCTGTCATTTTCCCAAATTTCGTCACGATCACTCAGTTGGCGCCACGGCACAAATCGAACGTGAACCCCTCAGATTTCACACCGCCTCCGAGATCCCCTCAAGAGTGCGGCACTTCGCCGCCCGCTCGGCCACAGAGTAACGTTCATCCCACGACGCGATCGCCACGATGCTGCATGTGCACGTTAGTCAGCGAGGGTGTGCGGTCTTCACCCGTCCCGGCAGGCGTACGCGGTGATGAACTTCATCGTTCGTTACCGCCCGGACGAGCAACCGTCGCTGAGGCCGCACCACGACTCGTCCACGTTCACCATCAACGTGGCGCTCAACCACGCCGGCATCGACTTCCAGGTACGCGGGGGTGCGCCGAGACGAGACCTTCACTCGTGGAGTCACTAGGACCCATTCTCCCAACTGCAGTCGGGGTCATACATGTAGAACGTCTTTCGCAACCCTACGTAGCCAACCGTGTCTGCAGGGTGGTGAAAGCTGCCCGTTTGGCTCCAACTGCTCAGTGTCTGTGCGTGCCTCTCAGTGCTACGTGTGCCCATGCGTCCCCATTGGCGTCTGCGTGCGTACACGTGCGTACACGTGCACATTCGTACACGCGTGCGTCTCCCGTGTGTCCATATCTATCCCTGGTCACGCATCTGTACGCGTCTGCCCGCCCGTGCGCGCGCCTTAGGTGCCTCTACGTTCGTGTGTCCGCCGCTCCACAAGTGATGGCACGCGCGTTGCCCCCCCTGCTTGCGGCCGTTTTTTTCCCCCGTCGTGCGCAGGGTGGCGGAAGCCGCTTCATCCGGTACAACTGCTCCGTGACGTCGCCCATCAAGGGCTGGACGCTGCTGCACCCGGGCCGCCTCACGCACTACCACGAGGGCCTGCCAACCACGGGCGGCACGCGCTACATCGCCATCTCCTTCATCGACCCCTGAGGGCCTCCTCCCACCCCTACTCCGCACACCCCCCCCCCCCCCCAACTCATGGCTGGCGTCTCTCGCGGGGTGACAAAGGGTTGGGTACAGCCAGCCCAATCGTTCAAGGCCGTGCAGGGAAATTCATGGAACATCGGCCACCCCCCCCACTAGCAGGGATAATTAGATTTAGTACGAAGATTGCAATGCTTTTCTTTTTTTTTTAATCCCACGGTCCCTTTTGCAACGGCTTGCGTTGTTTAGTGTGGCGCGCTGTAAATCTGGCATTGTTTTAAATCCCACGCAAAAATAAATAAAACGCACCTGGGCCTCGAATGGAGCGCATTCACAAAATGCTTTTTAAACACCGCCACCACGCCCAAAAGCATCTCGTCTAAATTTTTAAAAATAAATTATTATTGACAAGATGCCAAATAAGCCACGTTCCTATAAACCGTAAAGCCACAACCGTGTTCAGTGTTATTACCGTCCTGACATTTCCTAGGCTAGAGCTTGTCGAAGGGACCTGGGGTATTGTGTGTCGGGAGCGTTTTATTAAATGTTTAAGTCGCACGGCCTCAAAGCGCACCTAGCCTGGCACAAGCGCTGTGGTGACGCCAGTGGCATTTAGTTTAAGAGTAGCGTGGATGTGTTTTCTCAACTTTGCAATTTTGTTTGACCTCGTGCCGTTCAAGCTTTTGTCGACGAGCCTGGCGGACTTCAGTTGAGGCGTTAAGGTGCTAATAGCGTTAAAATGGGCAACGTGTTTGGGCTGACATAGTAGGTCAGGGTAAGTGCGGTTTTGTTTGTGCTACGAGTTTCAGGATTTGGCTGATCACTGTGCCTCTCCGTTAGGTAGGGCAGGTAACACCCTCCCCGTTCGAATCGTAATTTCAAGGGGCACGTTCTGCAAACCCTGCGCATTAAAATCGTAATCGTGCACGATGCCCCGGTCGTGGCCGTTAATAAGAAACAATTCCATATTGGAAAGAAAAAAAAAAACGGTGACGTTTACGCATCTCGATTCGAAATGAGCAGGGCAATACCGGCCGACCTCTTAGCGGAAAGCCAGCGATCTAGCGTCGACACGCACCCATCCGGTTCAAGGGCATGGTGCAAGTGGCTCCCTCTCTCTCTATCCTTTGACGAACCCTGGTCAAAGGTTGAAAGTTCCTTGTTCCTGTGCCAGGGACCGGTCTTCCTCCCATGGGGCAAGTGCTGTTCATGTCCGCAAAAAGTTGTGCTCATTTTATTGAGGAGGATGATGACCCAGAGTCGGTTCCCCCGACCAAAGTTTTTCCTATTCTTCTTGGTTCTTTCGGTAAAGTCACGTAGAATGAGAATAAAACAATAAAATAAAATAAGACAATAAAATTCTCACGACGTTTCGGCCACAACACAAGTAGCCTTCTTCAGGTGAAGGAAACAGAACTGTCGGGACGACAGCGCTTCAATGAACGCTGCTAAGATTCGCAGCGTTTTTTAAGCTAGGTGGGAGGAGCAGAGCACCTTGACAAAGGAGTTTACATATCAAACAGGAGAATTTAGCGTTGTTTCCATTGGGCGATAAACACCGGGAACTCAACGTTTACCTCCACGTCTAAATATTTTTTTTTATTAAGAATTTAGGGGACGCGCATTTGTAAAAACAGTCCGAAGAGAACCTTCAGCTCTGCTGCAGTCCCAGCTACGTGTGTCCCCCCCCCCCCTCCCCCCTTCTTAAATCGGACACGAGTTTGAAGCTCCGTAAAAAAAATAAAAGCAAAGCTCGATGCGATGCCTTTTCAACTTTCGCCGAATGTTCAGCCCGATGTCCCGACGATTCCCTCCACGAGCTGGAAGCTTCTTTGCAATCCGAATTCAGCGCCGACCTCCCCAGACCAAATCGAACGCGAGCGACTCAATTGGGTTCCTGAAGCACGCTCCCAAGCACTTTAAAACTTATTTCGCACCGTACGTAGCCAACCGCGCTAATCGGAGGGTGCGGCGGAAGGACTACAAACTAAACACACAAAAAGCCGTTCTAAAATAAATGCGTTTTCAATCTAGATGATTACTTAAAAGTGCATCCGCTCCCAGCGACTTCCTGATATCGGAAGGGCGTTCCAGACGGCCACAGAAGCGCATCTACGAGCGCGCGACGCATAACGTCGGACGTGGTGTTGAACAAGGAACACCGCGTGCAGTGCAACCCGAAACCTCATTGGGGCGCTCTGCGGCACAACCCGCGAATGCCGAGACGCGAGCTTGGTGATGTCACGAGCCCCGTAGTAGCAGCGGGATCGACGGCACCGTGGTATAAATGGTACAGTGACATCACTGCGGGGGTTCGTCACTTGCAGCCTTCTCATTCTCCTTAAGGAAGTGCCTGTCAAATTGTGAATGTACAAGGCTTGTTTGTCGTTGGGTTAAAGTCTTTTAAACGGAGCGGTCGTGCGCGAGTTTTGACTCGTACTTAATAAGTGCTGTGCTCAATCGGTACGTGGATTTTATGCATTGCCATCATCAAAATGTAAAAAAAAACGAAAGGTGCATCTTCTCTCTTTAAGATTCAATTCAAAATGTTTGTTTTGGCCTATGCACTATTTTGTAAAAATCAATCTCCAGGCAATTAAGATTTCTGCCTGCCAGTGTGTTTAGAATTTTAAAATGAACTTTTTTTTGTAAAGAAAGATGTTAATAAAAATGCCCGATCTTTCACAAAGTGGTTTTCTGTTAACTTCTTAGAGACGTTATTTCCTCTCAAGTACAAAGCTGGTGACGTCTGTGTGATGTAAATAAGCCAGGGTTTATGCGCGTGCACGCACGCAAAGTTACACATTTCGGCCACAGCCATAAACCTCTTTGACAGCCCTTTGCAATATACAGCACAGTGCTGCACAAAGCCCCCCCCCCCCCCCCCCCACGCTGTAAACCACGGGTGAGAAAAAGGAGGGGGATTCCCCCCCCCCTGTCCCCCAGTTTGTCCCGGTGCGGGGCCCAGGACGAACCCCACCCACACCGACGATGCCTCCCCCCAACGCCTTCCAACTAAACCGGTAGTAGTCAATCTGACACCGTGATGTCTAAACGCCCCCCCACCCCCCAAAGCACGGGGCCTGGGGTGGTCGCACAGATTCGCCGTGCTCTAGCGGACGCCTCTGGGGTTGCCCTATTTTAACCACAGTGGCAAGGGGGGGGCGTGGTTGAGGAAAAATCGGGCGTGAGGGACCAAGAGCACTGGCTACGTACGGTGCGAAAGAAGTCCAACATACATGTCACCGTGGGTTGGGAATCAAACTCTGGTCCACCGGGTTAACAGCGCAGCGTTCCAACCACTGCCCGCCGTGCCTCCCCAATAAAACTATCGGCGTTGCATTTGAAAACGCACGGTCGCCTGTGCGAAATAAGTTCAACATGCTATAAAGGACGCAAGGTTGACGCACGCGCAGAACGGCACCACGGCGGTGGTTGACTTGCTGGCTTACGCACTAACAACTTCAACATGTGTAGCAGTGTTGATTTCCAAGTACCGGATTTAAACAAAGCCACGAAGACCCCCCCCCGCTCCCCCCATCATCGTGGAAATTAGACCTGGGAGATTCTTGGAGGAAGAATTCTTCCGTGGCCAATCCGAGCGTTTCTCATTTGAATTCAATCGAATGAGATAATTTTTTTTAAAAAGCCCCACAAGGTTTTAGCCACGCAATGGAATTAAATGATAGCCGGTAAACTCTGCGAGACTCGTTTTTTTCCTACGAGCTTTTCCTTGAGTATGTCCTCTCATTTTTGTACTTCTATGGGTGCCTTGATTTTATTCGGCAGGACTCGCTTCGTTTTAATCTACACCGTAAAGTATTGGGATGGCTCCCCCTTTTTAGTGCGGGGCGATTTTTTTTACTCAAGAAATAAACGGGAATTAATTGAACGAACGAATAATTCGAGTGCTCATTTGAGACTGAGCTCGCCACTAATTGTGCAGACGCCACAACGCGGCATCATACACTGAGCGACGTGGTCCACAACATCTCGCACCGGTCTACCGACGCTTCACCCAAAGCCCACAGCAAGAGCTGCGGCTTCGCAAAGTTCAACAGCAGCAATCATCAGCAAGCAGCAGCAAACAACAGCAATCAATCAGCAAGCAGCAGCAGCAATCAGCAAGCAGCAGCAGCAATCAGCAAGCAGCAGCAGCAATCAGCAAGCAGCAGCAGCAATCAGCAAGCAGCAGCAGCAATCAGCAAGCAGCAGCAGCAATCAGCAAGCAGCAGCAGCAATCAGCAAGCAGCAAGCGGCACCAGCAAGCGGCACCAGCAAGCGGCACCAGCAAGCGGCACCAGCAAGCGGCACCAGCAAGCGGCACCAGCAAGCGGCACCAGCAAGCGGCACCAGCAAGCGGCACCAGCAAGCGGCACCAGCAAGCGGCACCAGCAAGCGGCACCAGCAAGCGGCACCAGCAAGCGGCACCAGCAAGCGGCACCAGCAAGCGGCACCAGCAAGCGGCACCAGCAAGCGGCACCAGCAAGCGGCACCAGCAAGCGGCACCAGCAAGCGGCACCAGCAAGCGGCACCAGCAAGCGGCACCAGCAAGCGGCACCAGCAAGCGGCACCAGCAAGCGGCACCAGCAAGCGGCACCAGCAAGCGGCACCAGCAAGCGGCACCAGCAAGCGGCACCAGCAAGCGGCACCAGCAAGCACGCACGTTGCATCGAACAAAGGCGGCGGTCACAGCATCGCGCGCGGCGCTTTCAGAAGCGCTCCTGCGGCCGTCTGGAACGCTCTTCCTGCCGATGTTAGGAAGCCACTGGGAGCTATGGCACTTTTTAAATCGTCTAGATTGACAATCTAATTTCTCTAGAACTGCTTTATGTAGTTTGTCGTCCTCCCCACCCCCGGACCTCCGATTAGCACGGTTGGCTACGTGCGGTGTGAAAGAAGTTCAATATCGAGTAACCCTCTCCACAAGGTGGCGGTAGGGGCAGCCTTTTGCGCCTTGCCCACGGCCCTGCCCCTCTGCTGCCCTCGACCGCACTCCGTCCGGACTCTCCCTGGTCACTAATCCACACAAGACCACCGGATCCACTAATCCACACTAACAGGTCCCTGCAGGGTGGGCTGGTAGGAACATTGGAATTTTGCGCAATTTTATTTTTACACCCCAACAGCACGAGATTTCACTTCGTTAAAGTATTGAAAGGGGACGGACGGACGGACACATTAATCTATTGCAGGCTAGTACACTCAGTTTACAACTTCGTTCCTACCAGTAAAATACCTGTGATTTCAAGGACCCAGGTGTACAGCTAGGGGGCCGTCCATAAATGACGTCACGCGATTTTGGACGATTTTGACCCCCCCCCCCCCACTCATCACACGGCGTCACAAAAAGTCAGACCCCCCTCAAATATGACGTCACAAAGCTCTGCCCCCCCCCCAAAAAAAATCCACACATCTTCATTGATGCAAAGCGCCTTGAGGTTGTATGACAGTGCGCTCTACAAGCTGTGATAATTATAATTATCAAACTAATGTACGCAGTGTAGCATGTACGTTGAACTTCTCTCGCACCGTACGTAGCCAACCGCGCAAACCGGAGGTGCGCGGAAAGTACAACAAACTAAACACAAAAAGCAGTGCTGAAAAAAATGAGTTATCAACCTCGACGATTTAAAAGCGCCACAAACCCCGATGGCTTCCTACTTATCGGTGAGGAAGAGCGTTCCAGACGGCCACAGAAGCGCATCTGAAAGCGCGCGATGCTGTGATCGCCGTCTTTGTTTGGCGGCTGTGGGATTGTACTCACGATGGAAAGCTCTCGGCTGTTCCCCGTGGTGATGTCGAGTTGGCTCCGCTCGTCAAGTCCCCCAGCGCTGCTGGTAGCTTGGGGGTCGCCTTCTCTGCGACTCTGGGCTATTTTCATTCACGAGCCTATTTATTGTTCGTAAGACCTGCGCTCTTTATTTGTCCGACCTGTTGTTGTTGCCATTAGACAATCCTCAAATTATGCGCAGCGCGTCTATTTA